TAGCTATAGACGGCTAGTTTTCGTTACATAGTGAGCTTTGGTTCCAAACCAATTACCCAACTGCCTGTCAATACACGGCAACAAAGGGTGGAAGAGGAACAATGAGTAGTGAAAGGGGGGACAGATATAGGATAAAAGCCATAAAGGAGCACCTTTTTGATATACTCGAGTGTTCTTCAAACACTGTTTATAAAATACACTTAACAAACATTGTCTTTGTGAGGGTGGTGGAAAAGGCCTTGCTGGGGTGGGAGGGGGGGGGGGGGGGTGGACAGTGGGTGGAAGAGGAACAGTTTGGGAAGCGGGAGAGGGGACAGATGTACGAGGTATAAACAAGCACTTTGTGATATACTCGAAGGTTATTGGTATAAACACTGTTAATAAAATAAACATATCCTTATATAACCCTGTTTAAATATTTATATTACTGCGGGCTTCGGCCTGTATAATCCCAGAACAAACATCGTGTACAATGGAAGTTTTACTTAGAAATGTACTACCCCCCTCCGGCATCCTCGGCTCTCTACTTGTTTCAACTTGTCTAATCCGAGCACTGTTATTCAGGCCATCGTGATCCTATGTTGAGACACCACCTGAAAATGGGAGGCTTTGAAGGTTGCGTTCTGTCCCAGATTTCAACAGAGAATCAAGCGTCATTATATAGATTACAACTTGTGTATAACGATCACTGTAATATACATTTCTACACCTGACTGGAGTAATGAAGAGCCGATCAACGCCATTCGGTATACATTGAGATAATTTTGTCATTTATATTTCGACTTCCGCAGTCGAGGGTTCTTTACCAAGTACAGCTTGTGGCTCAGGGGGTTCAGTTTATTGTCCTCTCCAAACGATTAGATTTTCATGTCAGTCTTTCAAACCTGGACCTTCAGGTAAGCGAGCCAGTGTCCAACTCACTGAGCCACAGCGACCTCCTTACTCCCCCCTCACCACCCTTTTTTCCGGAAAGCCTTGATCCAAAGGTTGTGACCATAAGAATGTATAGATATGATTGGAATATTAATATTATTGGTTCAAGTGTCTATCTGTGACATTCACGTAATACAAGTTATATATCAAGTGGGGTATTATACACAGTACCAAGTGATATAAACCTAATTCTATCTTCTATCTATAGTCGATTAGCCGATTGTTTTGTCTGAGTACCTCTTGATACTTCTGATAAAATGAGAGAACGTTCTTAAACCAGTCTAATGGTTGGAATAAATGATATTTTACGTATTTTCTCTACACCTTCTTGGGCTAGTGAAAAGGTACAATGTACCAGAACACTTGGTGGTACTTCTCTTTTGGGGAGTCTACTACTATAAATCTTTTACTCTCGATTTTGCCAAATTTTGGACGAGATTTTCGATAAACGGAATTGTCATGCTTACTGGGATTTGTAAATACATTCTATAAGCCATGAGAAACGAATACAAATCCGTCTAATACAGTAAAAGGGTAGGGAGTTCTAAGCTCTACTTTCCGTTACCTAAAATTGACGTCAGGCAGTATGCAATGTAGGGAACTTTATCAGGACATGAGTGTAAATTGAGTTTATCTCTTCAATTTCCAATATTCGGTAAAGACACCTCTAACACTCAATGCAAAAAGTGAGTGTTTAAAACACCATAAGGACAGGGATCGAACCCACAAGTGCCCAATTCCTTGATCCACAAGATCTTCTGCCTTCACTAGAATCAGTGGCGTAGCAAGGATTTCATTGAAGGTGGTTATTGGCAGGGGGGCATCCGAGCATCGCTTCCTTTTAGGATTTTAGAGGGCACTATTCATGGTGGGGTGGATATGGATGATCAGTGGGGGCCTCTCCCTGGAAAGTTTTCTAATCTTAATACACCAGCGACTAGATTGAACACTTCACAATACCTAATTTACGTCAGTTTCTGCAACCCGATGCCATTAAGGTGTATATAAACTGAAATAGAGTACTTCTGGCTAAGATTTGGGTAATTCGTGCGTAAATTACTAGAACTATAGACGTAAGTTGTCGGTGTGTGGGAAATATTTTTGTTATAATACATGTTCTATTTATAAGTAGTAAGATAAATTTAGCACTAGGTTCTTTTTATCCGAGTAGAAATTAAAAAGAGACATAAGTAGAAAATAGAAAGAAAAGAATTAATGAGAGAGATGAATGAAAAGGGTAAAAGAATGAAATAAAAAACAAAACAGAACAGAACAGGGGAGAAAACTGAAGACGACACAAAAGAACAGATGACAGAACTAGAAAGATGATAGAAGAGACAGATGACAGAACATGAGATAACAGATGACAGAGTAGTTAACAGAACGGATGACAGAACAGATAACAGAAAAGATGGCTAAACAGAAAACAGAACAGATGACAGAAAAGTTAATAGATGACAGATCACAGAGAACAAAACAGATAATAGAACAGAAGACAGAACAGATGACAGAACAGCTGATGACAGAAAGATGACAGAGTAAAGCAATTATTAAGATGACCGTAAACGATATACCTATACACTTTAAGATAAGAGATAAAATTCCTCGATGGCGATGAGTATCGCAATGTGTATAGTGAACTAACAAGCTTTTATAAGGTATCAGGGCTATAAACCAAGGGTAACAATAGGGTCGATACGTAATAATATCGACCGATGACGTAATAAAATATAGACGAACACACATCATTATCAGATTTATTGTTATGTCAATGAACTGTTGATTTGCCTCGCCCTAGGGATATTTAGAGGATTTGGAGGCGAAAGGGTTATAAAACGGAGGGGGGTGGCGGTACTGGTGTCAGAAATATCCCTCCTCAAAGATCTACCCCCTAAGTTCGGAATATCCAGTGAGTTATTTGATGAAAGGGTTGTACAGTGTATTACCTCCTGCACAGTACCCCCCAAGACCGAGGGTACCCCAAGTAAGTTGCGCAATGAAACACCTGATAAGGGACTTGGGGTCCCCCCCCACTTTCCAATAATAAATCCAAAGGATATTTAGACACTTGACTGACAAAGTAGCCTACCTCACAAATTGGAGTATGCAAGATTCTAATGTATAATTTTTGTCGGACAACAAAGCCCCGTTCTTCCTCCCGATTCACACTTTTGTCTGAAGTTTATTAAACATAGTAGCGTAGGGGATATGGTCATTTTGGGGTCCAGTGTATCAAGTGCATTGATTAAGACATTTGAGAAATTCATCCCATATTGTGTAGCAAGAATATAGGTGGGGAGGGGGGGGGGGGGCATTCAATATGTGTGTTTTAGCAACAGTTATGTCACTAATCATCATTGATTGCTGTGAACAGACAGATAATTTATTTTCTACTGTTTACGATCCCTGGGTTATCCTTATCCGTCGTTAATCCAAATCGCCGTAATCCCACGTCACAGATGTGTCGTAATCCTTGGATAAGCTGCTTCGTTAATTCTTATTCAAACAAAAGATATCAGTAAACGAAACAGTGTCAACTAAGACACTTGTTGACGTGCAGCGAATAATTTCACGACTTGAAAAGAATCATGTTCCGACAGATCTGTCAATTAAGGTCTCCTCGTGTTTCTTGACGATCCGCCTCTAATGGGTTTTAATTTACGATGGTTTTAATTAGTCTTTGAAGTCATTGTTTTCTGTAAGACGTTTCAAACACCTTGGTTACCTGCACTATAATCAATTGATACACATCTGTATAACATTTATTTGATCTTTTTACCGCTATTGATGTTATATAATTTTCTATTGTTTTAATTATAAGAATGGGAAATGCACCTGTATTTGTCCAATTTCGCCCCCCCCCCCCTAAAAAAAACTCCAAAACTAAACAAACTGATGCTATTTTGATAATAACATCACAATGGACAATGGACATTTTTTCCATGTTGCATGGGAGTAGCTTCTATTGAGATATGGTTTCATATTTTTGACGGAACCCAGACAACGTTCCATATTTCAAAAATGTCTAATCTATGAAATTAAACGAAACTTCGGCTAAGTGTCGGAGGGGCAAGAACTCAATGATAAATTTGAAACTGGGGGTTGGGAAGCAAAGTCGGACAACTCCCACCCCTACCCCAAATCTAGCATAATATTTGGAAAACCGAAGATATATTATTTTATAAAAGTAGAAAAAAATGTACGCCTAAATTTATTATGGCATGTCCGCCTTTCGCTAGTTCCTCTACCATTTATTTTTCAACATTCTCAGAGGCCGATATCAAAATAGCTTTTCTATATCTGTCTTAATGATGTCGAACACAATTTTAGGTTTTAGCAGGTCTATTATTGTTTTCGTTGTGAACAACATCGTAAGAGGAAATGATATAGAGTTTTACGTCACCGGGCTTTTTTTTTTTGCATTTCAGCTCATGAACGCATCTTTCATGCGTAATGCTAAGATAAAAGATGAGAAGACTTTTCGATGCCACGACCTATATTTTCGAGGGATGGTCCGAGCGTCCCCCTACCATAGATTTTCCCAATAGAACGCCACCCTCCCACCTCATACCATATTCCAACCAGAGCGAACCCACCCTACCATAGATATTCCAACCAGAGCGCGCCCCCACCCTACCATAGATATTCCCATCAGAACGATCCCCCTCCCTACCATAGAAATTCCCACCAGAACGCCCCCCTTCCACCCTGCCATAGATATTGCAACCAGAACTTCCCCCACCCTCATACCATAGACATTCCCACCAGAGCACCCCCGCCCCCCCATATCATTGATATTCCAACCAGAGCGTCCCCCCTCCCTCATACCATTGATATTTCAACCAGAGCGCCCTCCCCCTACCTGCCATTGATATACCAAAAAGACCCCCCCCCCCCCTTCCCATCCTCATACAATAGATATTCCAAGCAGAGAGTTCCCCCCCCCCCCCCTACCATTGATATTCCTACCAGACCGTCCCCTGTTCCAAGGGCTAAATAAGTAATCTTTATTTCTTACAAGTTGAAGTCATTGCGAAAGACAATAACTTGAACTAATGAGGCCTGACATGGTAAGAAATAATGGCTCAAGTATTTTGAAACTATTGCGCAATATGCCTCAGATTTGAACTAAGTTTGTGACATTGGCACATTTATTTCGCAATTCATGTTTTGGTTACAAAATTTCCATGTTATTCATAGCCACGATAGGGACCCCGAAAGCATCGATATGAATTCAATATTTGTCTTTGTAGAAACTTATTATTTCCTAAATTGGCGATGTTGTTATTTGCCCGAGAAAGAAATTTTGATAAGTTCTAATAAGTTACAAATCTAAATCTGAAATATGCCTTACGGCTGACATACAATGAAGGACAATATACAATGACAAAGTCCATTGAAATGTCAAAATAATGAATCGTCGAAACTCAGATCGATCCTTCTATCAATAACCCCGTGTCCTAATCAAAAATATCATAACTTCCATTGTAATAGTGTATGATTTTCATAATATTTGACGATGAAGGGTTATGTCATCGGTATCTAGTGGTACAATAGGGTAGTTAGTGAACCGTGGCGAGTAATCGTCACTTCCTGTCACCTCTATCGTCTTATAAATACCCCCAAATCTCCATTTTCAACACCACAGCCAACCCGGTGGTCGGCAAAGCAACATCCTCCATTTTGACTGCTCATACAGTCACGTGATAGCGGTGTACAAATCGATATAAAATAAATTCAGAAATTTGGAATTTTATTGTGTAAAGTGTCCTGCTTGGAGAAAGGATCACTGACCAATTTTAAAAAGGTGAAAATTTGGACATTTTTGGGAAATTGTGAGGAAATTTCCCTAGTGACGTCATTTGATTGACAGGTCTAGTACGCTAATTTTACGTCAAACTTTCTCAAACTACCGCCCCAGTCTACGATGGCGTCGAAGAAGGTGAAGTCGGGCGAACAGGTAAGCTAAATTTTACGTTAATTTCTTGAATAATGGCTTGGATTTTATGGTGTACTGATGATTTAAAGTTTAGTTCATGATCCTGCCGGCTTGTATTTGGATTTCATGGTGAAACATAGCTGAAATATTGACTTCATAATGTGAAGCAGCCAAAGATGGCGTGCCCTGACAAGAAAACGCGAGGATTACCGGTGACTTCTGCATGATTCATTATGTTCAAGTACTGTATGATATATGCAATTTCTTATCAGATAATGTACTATTCATAAAAATCAACCTTTCAACTTCGATCTTATGGCTTTAAAAGTGTAAAATACGCTGTTAATTTTGTGTAGCGGATATTACAAATGGGTGCAATCGAGGCTGCCTGGTTCAACTAATAGTCATGAATATGTATTAGTGATTTAGAGGACTTTTAGGTTATTCGATTGAAATGCAATTTACACCATTATTACCACGAAAATCTTTGGTTTTTGTGGATAATTTTGAATATTTTATCAGATTGTTCCTATAAATCGTAAAATGAATCCTGTAAAACCTTTAGAAACGGCAAATTTTAGTGTGTAATTATATAACATTAGGCTGATCCATTATGCTATGGCATGGCATTGACAGTTCATTGAACCTAACCAGTTGATGAATCTTTTTTCATTAACAATGGCCTCGATGGCATTTAAATGTAGCTCCTATCATTCTTTCAGTTTTGGCAGATTGATAAAGCTGTGAAATAGGGTGTGACGAGGCCATTGTCCACCGAATTTTGGCCACTTAAGACAAGTAGCTTGTTATGTCTATCTCTGACCTATATTTTGTAATGGAGAAAATTATGGCTAGCTGTTTGCTTATCAATTTTTCATCTGATAGTAATAGTTTAGGAATGTGGGCAATGAAAACTGTTATATTCTCCTAGCCATGACTTATATAGGTCTAAATTTTAATGCTAACTCTCAAAGAATGTTTTTAACTGGACAAAATTATTCTCAATTATTGCATTCAATTATTTCTATCATTAAGCCTAATGAATTTTAGATGTATTGCCTAATCATAGAAAATTTTCAAAATTTCAGAGACTAGTTTTAGAATTGTAATAGATTTGAAATTTATGGTTTTCTTTTACGTTCTTGACAAAGCTAATTTGAAATTTTCTCACATTTGTCACAAAAACACGGATTTGTAGGTGAAATGTTGAAATCAGCTGACTGATATTTGTACAACAAAAACTATTCTAAATGAAAGGACATGACAAAATTTATTTAACCCACTCTCTAAAATTTAACACTTGGGTCAAATTGCAAATCATTTAACAAATGTTAAAGAAAGCCTTTGATGTAGAAATAGGTCAAAAATTATGTTTTTGAAGATAACTGCACTACATCGCTGAAGTTTACAGTCTTGGAAATTAAACACTTGGGTTCAAATTGTAAGATAATTTTTAAAAAAGGAAAATTTATAGAATCTTTAGAATACAAGAAATAGGTTAAAACTAAGTAAAAGTTCTTGATGACTGCACTAGTAGTTGAAGTTAACAGGTGAAAATTGGTGACCGTCACCCTTGAGTAACTTGATAAAGGTCACCTTCACAAAAGTCTTTACCCTGAGGCCTGGAGGCAATACTTAAAGATACCTTACAATGTTTTATCACTGGTAAATTACCACATATTACCTAATAATATCTACAGATAAGCTTGACTTATATCATTGTGGTGTTACATAACTATTGTAAGATGTGACATAACAGTTAGCCTATTGTCAGAGTGGCTGCAGGGGGTCTTTTTTCTTCCTTAATGAAAACATGCTAGACTTGTCATTGTCAAATGTCCTCTTTAAAATTAAGAGTATTTATTACTCTTCAACATGTCAATTTTACTGATTAATTACCTCTATTGTTTTATGGCTCTCCTTTGTTTTATATACTCAATCCATGTTTTTGACACATGTGCCCATTAATTAAAATAAGTCCTGTGAACTACAGGCTAAGTCAGATCTCAAAACAGTTCAAAATATGAAAATTAAACTAAAAAAATACCAGAAGGTGTTGCCTAGTATCATCAGCTCAAATTCACCCAAAGACATTTGATATTTAACTGTGCACATTTGTCAAAATTGTAGGTCAAATTTAAGTAGAAAGGGAAGTCTTCGAATGGAATACTTGTTTTCAGGGTTGAAATTAAACTGTATTACAGTTTGCGATTCAAAATGACCTCTGTTGTGATCCAACATTTACTTTGATTAGCTAAATTAAAATTAATCACAATGAATCAAATCAAATTATATATTTGAAAGTTTATTAGTGGAAAAATTGTTACAGAGTTTTTAAGAAACACGAATTAAAATTTAACCCAAAACTAAAATTGGGTGTGAGGAAGTGCTAATGAAATTTTTCAATCTAAATTGAACCTGCTGTTTGTACAGATAATTTCAAAGAGTAAAACTCCAGAATAATCTGTTATTTACAATTTAAAAACATTAATTTAGTAAAAAAAACAGCACTGTTGAAGAAATAGACAGTTTAAATGCAATTTTAACAATATGTTGACTATTTCTGGCTATTTTTCAAAAAATGTACTTGAAGCAGCTTTTTACATAATAACAATGCTAATAGCTTGATTGTTTTTATGGAATAAACTCGTCAGAACATTGATCAAGTTCAAATTCATAAATTAATCACCATTAGTCTAGATTACCCAGTGCATACCCTTGTAAGTGAATAGGTACACAAAATAATTACCATTATCAGATACGTAGGGTTCAATCTTTCGTTAAAATGTACAAAATGTTCAAAAGAATTTATTTGCATCCTGTTCAATCTTGGAAGGGAGTTGCCTGTAATTTTAACATTTAGACAACATCCTGATTCAGCTTTTAAAAATTCTTTGTTAAAATTTGAATCTGAATTAATGATTTCTTATATTCCAGTACAAAATGAATGCAAATATTTCAATATACTGTTAGACTTAAAAGCTAAAAAAAATGACTGAAAAAACCAGAAAAACAAGTAGTATAGTTTGACCTTTTGAAGGTCATTAAGTATTGACTGCTATTATTGCAATATAGTGTAATTTGTTGGTAGAATGATAGAGTTATAATACTAGAAGAAAGTTACTATATAGAATGACTAATTACTAAGGACTTAATGTCAGTAGTGACTAGACAGTCTTCTTGTCATCAAAACAAACCTAGAAGCTAGAACAATATGGCTTGTATAGCCTGATGACAGAAGAAAATGTCAACATGTTATTTTATAATGGAATTCTCTTTCTTCTTTCTTATTACAATGGACATCTCATCTGGCAGTTGTCATTATAGCTCCATTTTAGCTCATTTGCCTGCTTTTTTTTTTCATTTTCCATTAAGTAAATACATTGATAATAAAGATTAGTAAAGAGAACAATACTCTTACTTATTACAACAATGAATTTTGCAAATTTAACTTTAAGTGAATCGTGTTCAGACTGGTTACTGACTTAAAGTTCCTGTATTTCCATTGAAATTTTTCTGATATTTTAATGAAAAATTTGACAATAACCTGTCTTTGAAAAATAATTTCCTAATGTACCTAATGTTTAAATGCATGTTCCAATTTGGCAACGGCCAACAATCATAATACAAATCCTGACTGCCTGATATCTTCAGAACATCGTTACTTATGCATACATGTTGTTTTTTTTTTTTTTTACAGCCCAGAGCTGAAAGCTACAGATATGCCGTCACACCAAGCACTGATGACAAGAAAAAGAAGAAAAAAAAAGGAAAGGAAGATTTGGATGAACTCAAACAAGAGTTGACTATGGATGAACACAAATTACCCATAGAGGAATTATATGAAAGACTTACTACCGACCCTAATATGGTAAGAAAAATTCTGATGCCTGTGCCAGTGCTTTCGAGAGTCGGCTGGGTGTCGACTCTAAACCCCTAATACCTGTTGTGGTATGTGTATCTGTGAATATCTTTAAGGATTTCTGATTGAAACAGACGTCTAGATACCAAACTATTTAAATTGGAATTAGGTCAGTCTGGAAGAGATTCCAATGATTTTCTACGGAGTATTCAATCCCTTCACAGAGTTTATTGATATCTTTTTCTCTCCAACTCAATGAAATGTAATGTCAAGAGGATAATTTTTATTTACTCAGTGGAATTTAGGTTTTTTATCTTTTTTCTTCAATATTTGTCTTCTCAATTTCTGTTTTCATCGCCTTTTGGTCCATTTTGGGTTAAGGCATAATTTTATTGGTCACTAAAAGAAACAAAACGACCCTTGAACTTTGGTACATTGCTTTAGGGACTTGACAATTTGTCAATTTTAGAGGACCCACATACCTAACCAACCTTACATTGCCATTTTTGACAAATTGTCACTTTTGGAGAGTCCACATGTTAGTCTGAAAGAAACAAGATGGTGATATAAAGCTATAAGTTTATGATAGGTCTATTTTTATTCATTGTCATACACTTCAACTAATCTCTTACAATCTTGATCATTTGTATACGCTTGCAATTCCCCTCATGAATAATTCATGAGCCAATTCATAGCTGATAAACATGATTGTGTTAAGACTTTGCTTGCAAACATTGCCTTTTTTATTGGCTAAATATATATATTTCATAATGGCGTATACAGCTCATTATTCGAATTCAAGTGAGTTCAAAAACTGGAAACAAATATTCAATTCATGCTCTTTGCAAGTTTTTTCACATCTAAAACTTCTTTACTTTCTCTGCATAAGAAAACATTTGAATATTCAAGTTCATAATCTCATATGCGGCAAATTTTTGAAAAAATGACTTCATTTTATGCCCCAGACACCAAGTTTTGTTGAAGTTGAAGTTTCACTTTTGATACACCTGATATAAACTTTGACCTTGATATCGAGCGAAGGTCGCGGTCTAGATTGACTGTTGCACCATATTGTATGCTGTAATAGTACATTAATTGTTAATAGACCACATCAATTAATCATAGTTAATGTTAATTTAAGATTCACACCTGTCTCTGAAATATATATTGCAGTCTATGACTCACTGTGACTCTAGGAAATGGCATGGTCACAATATATAGGCATAGAGTTCTGCATAGTCTCTATGCCTGTTTAAGAGCATTCATTTCATATGTCCAGCATTTTCATATTTTTAGCATAATCTCTTCCTGAGCAGTATCTCCAACTATGTCAACAGGGAAATTATACTCTAGCTTAATTAACAAATCAACACAAATTTACTAATTAGATTTTGGTGGTCTCTATTAGTATTTTACACATGATGTTAGATTAGTGTAAGATTAGTATGTGTAGTGACACAAGTGCGTGCATTGCATGCTTCTTATTCTAAATGTTGTTTACAGCACTTGAAATATTTTGACATTTGTCATCCAAATTCTTTTACACAATGCTTGATACTCCATTCTGGCTTCCTATCTTGAGCTTTCTTATTGAATATTGTCTCTGTGACAATTGGCAGCCATGATGAACTGTGTTCTCAAGACTTCCATGGTTCTGAGATCTTCCAATGAAGAATCTACACACAATTCTGAGCTCAATTCATCAATGCATGATACTTACCAGTGTAATGAACGATATTGAATGGTTTTTTTTTTTATTTGTAGAAATTTAACCTTCAAACTCGTAAAAAACGATTTGGAAATGTCAGTATTCAAATTGTATTACAAATGTTAGCTTACATTTTAACAAACTTGTGTTACAAACATTTAATCTTATCTTATACCGGGTACCTAAATTTTAGCTCACAAAGTTTTTATTCGAGCATGACAGCAACTCTCCAACATCCTATATAGCCCGTTTTGGTGCTGATGCACCTTCATGCATTTCCAACATTCAAAAATTCAATTGAGAACATGCAAATGTTTTGCATTAGTTGTTCAAATATTCGTTATTCTTGAGCAACTTTATACAAAACATTCACAAACTTTGCCCTTGACTTATCAACAAGCCAACCTTTTTCTTTTGTTAAATTTTATTACAAAAGACGCTCTGAATAAAGTATGTTAGTATATGACCTAGTTTTACTAGTAATAATAGTAAAATACAAGTGCTTGTTCAAATATTGATTCAGTACGCTTTACCGGTTTTTAGTTCAGGTTTAATCTATTATATTGGACATCATATTAGCCAAGACCATTGGCGTTTAAAATCATATCAATATGTTGCTAAAGTTTTATGAAATTTTCAAAATTATCTGAAAAATAAAAATGCTCACGATTTGCTTGGTGGTATAAAAAGTAAAAATATTTCAAGATGTTATGAAAGCAGTTGTCAATTTTAAATTTGACTGTAAAAAAAGTATATTGTCATTCAGGAGAGGTTTATAACAAGTACATAAGAAGAGATAAGAAACAGATATAAATGAATAAATAACAGTGTATAGTTTGTCAGTCAACGTGTCCTTAAAGGCAAGGTCACCTCTACTTTCAAACCTGTTCACTTACTTTTACACTCACCTTCACTTTATTCTTCATCTTTCATACACACTTGAAACTTATGGAAATTTCCATCACATTTCAGTGATCTGAGTATAGAATAAATTGTAAAATATGCCCTGATCAATTAAAAATTTGAGTCTTTACTAATTAGTTGCCATCATTTTGAAATATTAAGTACATATATAAATATGAAAATTGCATCATCTTGAAATATTAAGTAAAAAGTTGCCATTAAGATAATAAATAAATTGTGTTTTAAAATGATGACCGAAGGCGTACTATCTACTGTTAATATATTAATGTAAAACAAATAAATGAAACTGTGAGTTTATAATGTGATCTAGAATTATTGATTAATTTCTAGTTTATATAGTAATTCTATTTTTCTCGTCCCATGATGGTATTTAATTATTACTTAGGTCAGATTTACATCGTTAAATCATAATGACTTCTATAATCTATATTTTGCACGCGCAGAAATTATTTAATCAAAGTTTTTTAAAATTATTTAGGTCATTTACTATTCAATATATCGTTAAAAATATAACGAGTTCCATTTTCTGAAAATGATCGTTTAAAATGATAATTTAACCAACGTTGTTATAAAATTATGTATGTAGGTCAGATTTGTTAATGTTTACATCATTTAGAATAAGAAATATTAAAACAGAACCTGAAACATGTTGTTCACCATGTATAATAATTTATTTTCTGAATGTGTTCAATACATGATATTAATATTGCTAGACAGTTTTATGTGTTAAGATTAATAAGGTCAACTGTTTCATCTGAAAAAATCTTTTGAAGTGAAATTGACATTTTTTTTTTCGCAGACATCAAACGATAGATACAGTTAACATAAAGATACTTGTTGAGATCATATGATATTTATTTATTTCTTTACATTCTTGTAATTTAATATCAAGAGTTACTCCCCCTTCTATCAATACCTTGGTCCGAGTGCTGTTTTCGTCTGGCCCAGTTCTTCTGGCTTTATTATTGATAATTTTCCCAGATAGCTCTATTGATGATGCTCTAATTCGATAGGATATTGTAATTATGCAAAAATCGTAGAATTTTACATTAAATGTATTAAAATTGATGAATTCTCCATTTCAGGGTTTAACAGTAGAAAGAGCACGAGAAATTTTATTACGTGATGGACCAAATTGTTTAACTCCTCCCAAAACTACCCCAGAATGGGTGAAATTTTGCAAACAATTATTTGGTGGTTTTTCCTTACTACTGTGGATAGGGGCCATATTGTGTTTTATTGCCTACTCCATCCAAGCTAGTGCTCTAGAATACCCTCCTGGAGATAATGTAAGTTTATACTTTTCCGTTTTTCAAATCAATTCTGATGGTAAGTTTCATGAATACTGGTTTTTATTTAAAAATTAAATAATCATTCATATTCTGAGTTCCTCTTAGTGTGTTTTGGTTTAGATAGAAATGATTATTGATTATTAGACTGTTGCCATTGGGACTGGATATTAATTCTATTTCCTCTCTTTTCCAGTTATATTTAGGTATTGTACTTGCGGCTGTTGTAATTGTGACTGGATGTTTCTCTTATTATCAAGAAGCTAAAAGCTCAAGGATTATGGACTCCTTTAAAAATATGGTTCCACAAGTAAGTATTTTCTCCTCCCTGAAATTTCCAAAACTACAAAAATTTGAAAAAAATAACAGATTTTACAAGGATAAACAACTCCAGTGCCTTTATGCAAAGTTAAATGCCTCTCCATTTGTCAGATTAAATTCCTTCATTTTAATTAAAACTTAAAATCCAAAGTGCCTCCCACCTTATTTTTACTTAATTATCTCCCTTGTTTTCCAGTATGCTGTCTGTATACGTAGTGGTGATAAACTGAATTTGAAAGCTGAAGAATTGGTAGTCGGTGATGTTATTGATATTAAATTTGGTGATCGAGTTCCTGGTGACATCCGTGTCATCTCGGCTCACGGTTTCAAAGTTGATAACTCCTCCCTTACTGGTGAATCTGAACCTCAAACTCGAACCGCTGAATTCACTCACGAAAATCCCCTGGAAACTAGAAATTTGGCTTTCTTCTCTACCAATGCTGTTGAAGGTATGTATTGTAGAGTTAACCCTTGGCACTTGATAAAGAAGACTACAGAGAAATTGAATGAAAATTATCACCAGATTCATCTATGATGCTGAAGCTTTCCATCCAATTATTTTCTGACCATTTTCAAACTTTCTTACAGGTACTTGCCGAGGTGTTGTCGTCAAAACTGGAGATAAAACTGTCATGGGTCGTATTGCTAACTTGGCTTCAGGTCTTGAAGTTGGAGAGACACCCATTGCTAAGGAAATCGCTCATTTCATCCATTTGATTACTGGTGTTGCCGTTTTCTTGGGAGTGACCTTCTTCATCATCGCTTTCATCTTGGGTTATTACTGGTTGGATGCTGTAATCTTCTTGATTGGTATCATTGTTGCTAACGTCCCTGAAGGTCTCTTGGCTACTGTCACTGTCTGTTTGACCCTTACTGCTAAACGTATGGCAAGGAAGAATTGTTTAGTCAAGAACTTGGAAGCTGTAGAAACTCTTGGATCCACTTCTACCATCTGTTCTGATAAAACTGGTACCCTCACCCAAAACAGAATGACAGTCGCTCACATGTGGTTCGATGGTCATATTCTTGAAGCTGATACCACTGATGATCAATCTAGTAAGTATTTTCTAGTAGTAAATTATGAGTTACTGCCCTTGTTTCCAAATTTTCTGATGATCAATTTTAAGCATTTCTTCGCCTGCAAATATAGCATCAAAAACAGTTTTTCAAAGCTTTGATAGATATTCCTCTAACTTTTATTTCGAACAGCATGAGAGTTGTCTTTTCCTACCATCAAGAGTTATTGCCCTTGGCCCTCAAGAGTATTGACATCATTCAAGCTCCAGATGATAATGTATTGTCCTATTTTTTCAGATGCTGCCTACAGCCGAAATGACCCCACCTGGAATGCCCTTGCACGTATTGCTATGTTGTGTAACAGAGCTGAATTTAAAACTGGTCAAGAAAGCGTTCCTATCTTGAAGAAGTAAGTGTTGCATCTTCTGATTTAGTGTGCTTTTGCTTATTATATGCAATTGGATTTGAAAATTGACTGTCAACAGCATTTGCATTTACCAAGTCATATTTTGAAATACACTACGCTTTGCCAATGTTTTATTCAAAGCATGTCGGTAGCTTACAATGAAGATGTGATAAATTCCCAAAATATAACCAATGTATTTTCTTCCTTTCAGAGAATGTAATGGAGATGCCTCAGAATCTGCTTTATTGAAATGTGTCGAGCTTTCCATTGGTAATGTCACTGAATACAGACGTAGAAACAAGAAAATCTGTGAAATTCCTTTCAACTCCACCAACAAATACCAATTATCTATCCATGAAACTGAAGATCCCAATGACCCTCGTATGATTCTTGTCATGAAAGGTGCACCTGAGAGAATTATGGATCGTTGTTCAACTGTCTTGTTGAATGGTAAAGAAACTCCATTAGATGATAACTTCAGAGAGGCTTTCAATGCTGCTTATTTGGAACTTGGTGGTCTTGGAGAACGTGTACTTGGTATGTATGATATCTTTATACTAAACTTATATCTCAACTCACACTTCAGTTCTCAAATTTAAGCAATTTAATTAATTCTGCAGAAATATATTGTGTTTCTATAAGATGACAATACTTCCAACATTGGATAATGGTCTTAAGGATAACCCAATGTTCATGAATTCCTTACAATTCTTTTCTTTCCTTCCAGGATTCTGTGACTATGTGCTGCCCAATGAACAATACCCACCAGGATATGAATTTGACCCTGAAGGTCCCAACTTCCCCATCACTGGCCTCCGATTCGTTGGTTTAATGTCTATGATTGATCCACCTCGTGCTGCTGTCCCTGATGCCGTAGGAAAATGCCGAAGTGCTGGTATTAAAGTTATCATGGTTACTGGTGATCATCCAATCACAGCCAAGGCTATCGCTAAGGGTGTCGGAATTATCTCAGAGGGAAGCAAAACTGTTGAAGATGTTGCCTCAGAACGTGGTATCCCAGTCGAAGAAGTTGACCCAAGGTACGTTGATATTTCAAATTTGAATTTTAAATTTCAAGATTGACTTACATGGATCGAATTTGTCTTAACCATTGTTTATGATATTCCAAAATTAACTTGGACTCTCTAAAAAGGATTACCAAGTATCAAAACTCAAAAAGGATGCCCAGTTATCAACTCTCCATAAAGGATACACAGTTGACAAACCTTATAACACATTACAATATCTATTTCAGAGATGCTAAAGCTGCTGTTATCCACGGTCAAGATTTGAGAGACATGACCCCAGCCCAAATTGACGAAATTTTGAGAAACCACAATGAAATCGTATTTGCCAGAACTTCACCCCAACAGAAATTGATTATTGTAGAAGGTTGTCAGAGACAAGGAGCTATTGTTGCTGTCACTGGAGATGGTGTCAATGATTCCCCTGCCCTAAAGAAAGCTGATATTGGTGTTGCTATGGGTATCTCTGGTTCTGACGTCAGTAAACAAGCCGCTGACATGATCTTGTTGGATGATAACTTCGCTTCTATCGTCACTGGTGTTGAAGAAGGTGAGCTTTGAGTCTTTGGATTCGAAAGGATGCTTTGCTTATTACTTGGTGATAGGGCGACACTGGGAAGCACTGACTGTATTATTTAGCTGAACGATCTTGTTGAATTCCTGTTTTTCTGTTTGATTTGACTGTTTTAAAGTGTCTATAAAAATGTAACTTAAAAATTTTTGCTTCTCTCTTCCAGGTCGATTGATTTTTGACAACTTGAAGAAATCTATTGCCTACACTTTGACCTCCAACATTCCTGAAATTTCACCTTTCTTGTTCTTCATCTTATTGGATATTCCACTTCCATTGGGTACCATCACTATCTTGTGTATTGATTTGGGAACTGACATGGTACCAGCTATCTCTCTCGCTTATGAACAGGCTGAAAACGACATTATGAAACGTCAACCTCGTGATCCCCTTAATGATAAACTTGTCAACGAAAGGTATGTTTCCAAGTTTGTTTACGCTTTGAAATTCTAGTTTTTAGCTGAAAATAACATTTCAAAAGTTTTAAATGAAATAACATAAACAGAATCATAGAATTTGCACATTTCAACAAAAAGTTATACCTTAGTATGTCTGATGCCTTGGCCAGTGCTTCTGTGAGTTCTAATACATCCCTTTGTCTTTTAGATTGATCTCTATGGCTTATGGACAAATTGGTATGATCCAAGCCTCAGCTGGTTTCTTCGTGTATTTCGTTATTCATGGTGAAAATGGATTCTGGATTAGCCGATTAATGGGTATCCGTGAAGCATGGGATTCTCGTGGTATTAATGATTTGGAAGATTCTTACGGACAAGAATGGGTAAGTGATTCTCTATTATTGGGCTTAACCCTGCTTTACTTTACTATGTACAATGGCTATCTTTTGCAATTATTAGCTGACTGTAACACTCAAACCTTCTTACATTTTCCTAATAAATACTTGTTTCCAATTCTGTATTCAATGTGCTTATAAAATCTTGCCTTCTATTTCAGACGTATCATCAACGTAAAGTTTTGGAATACACCACCCATACCGCTTTCTTTGTCTCTATTGTCATTGTACAATGGGCTGATCTGATCATCTGCAAAACAAGGAGATTATCTCTATTCCAACAGGGAATGAAGTAAGTTTTAGCTTTAATTGTACATGAACATCATGCTGAAAATTGGTATTTAGTAGAGTGGCATATAGTGTTATATGCTTAGGATCAAATATGATACTGATTTGCAATGTGGAAAATGACAAGTTGACAATGTTAGATACAAAGTGACATGAGGTGTAAATGGTCGAATACACTATTAACTGTGTGAACTCTCTGAAATAGAGGCTTCCACTATCAGACCTTGAACTCCACTCAATTTGCAAGGGTGCACTAAAAAACCAAACTAATTTTTATTTTTTATGTTTTCAGGAATCATCGATTGACTTTCGGTATTTTCTTTGAAACAGCTCTAGCTATCTTCCTGACTTATTGTCCTGGTTTAGATCAGGGTCTTCGTATGCAACATTTAAGGTATGTTCACCTCTAGTCTTCAGATCTTCTCAATGACTCCATTACATACAGGCCACACTTTGCCATTTTCTCTTCAAATTTTTACCTCAAACTTTTCACTTTCTATTTCTATATATCTTTTCACTTTCTATTTCTATATATCTTTTCACTTTCTATTTCTATATATCTTTTCTATTTCTATATGTCTTTTCTATTTCTATATATCTTTTCACTTTCTATATATCTTTTCACTTTCTATTTCTATATATCTTTTCTATTTCTATATATCTTTTCACTTTCTATTTCTATATATCTTTTCTATTTCTATATATCTTTTCACTTTCTATTTCTATATATCTTTTCTATTTCTATATATCTTTTCACTTTCTATTTCTATATATCTTTTCACTTTCTATTTCTATATATCTTTTCACTTTCAATTTCTATATATCTTTTCGATACATGGCATAATCTCAAAGAAAATCAATCGTCATTTTTAACTTTCAAATGTGGATAATTCTATCAAATTTCAATTCAATTCTCTTTCTCTCAATAGTCCTTATTACATATTCTGTTAAATACTTACATGAATTCCAAAACTTCAATTCCATTTTTCTTGTATTTTCAGATTTACTTGGTGGTTACCAGCTCTACCCTTCAGTTTAGCTATCTTCGTGTATGATGAATGCCGCAAATATATCTTACGAAGACGTCCAGGTGGCTTTGTCGAGAGAGAAACCTATTATTAAACGTCATGTTTTGTTAATATATTTTAGAGATAAGACTTATGAAATTTTTATTACCGTGGGGGGTGGGGCAAATACTATTATAGGATGGATACAAGGGAGATTATCCATTGTAAAATTAAGGTGATACCTATACTCAGGAGCACAGCAAACTGATTCTTATACTTAGGTCAATATTCTATATGTATTATTGCATTTAACTTACATAATATCAAATATTAAGAATTTGGATGCCAAAAAATGGTCATATCTAAAGAATAATGAAATGTATATCAAAAAAAGATGTAAATTTTTAATTGTTAATTTTATGTACACAAATTTCTTGCAATCATACGGTATGACATATTAGAATGAGAATGAGGCATCAAAAATGCCAGTGTTTACTTGGCATGGGTGACGTCAATTGCATCTAGGATGTCGGTGTCAATTGCCTCAGTGACTTCACACGGCATGAGTGATAGTCAATTCCAGATTGTGTCAGTGACATCACATGGCATCTATTATACCCTTGGCATCAGTGACATTGCATGGCATCTTTGCAATGTTAATTTCATATGTCACATGGCACTTGGCATGAGTGACTGATGGCTCTAACACTGATAATAATATATTTGTAAATTCTATGTGATGTATCGGTCAGCTGTTTTCTGTGTCAAACTGAAATTTTGTAGAATTTTTTGTTAATAAGAAAAGATCTGTTAAAATGAATTTATATGTTAGGTTATAGAGGTTGTATGACATGAGACCATCGCTTCGTCATAGTGACAGTTGTCAATGTGTAGCGTCACTTTCTGCTTCTCGCTATTTAGAATTTTTAGTGATTTTTAAAATGTGAATAGACTCCCTTAAATAAAATACATTGTTTATAATTTTCATTGTGATTTTTAGCCTCTTTCTGCGTATTTTTATTTTTTTTTAAGTTGAATTCGTCAGTATTTGTTTGTGACTCTTCGCAAATGAGATTGTGGTAGATTGTATGAATGGAGTTGTCACATCATTTCATTATTATTTTTTTTCTCGTCAGTTTTTTTCCCATCATTCAACATTCCGTCATGGTGAATTTAGTAACGTGTATCTAATGAAAGTGAAAATTTGCGTTGGTCAGAAATGTGGAACAAGGGAACAAATGTTTCATGAAATAACATCATATAATTCAATCAAATTAATGTCATGCGATGAAAATTTGAAATTTTTCCGATTTCTTATTGGGATTTCGGAAAATTTTCCAAATTTCCTCTCTTGCATTAATCTTGGCTTGGCCAGTGTTTTCTGCAAAATTTATCTAGTAGATAGCAATAGTAAAATATCGACCAGCTTTTGTAGAAATTGTCGTACTTTAACCGCGATTTAGTGGAATGCATGGTACTTGCTATGATGGGTTAGTGACTTAACTTTTTCTTGGCATATTCGTCAACTAGGATCAGTCCAGAAAGCAGACAAACCAGCCAAAAGGTGTTTCATTATAACAAATTTTATAATGATTAAAGTGAAATTTTGGCTGGTTTTGTATGAAGTCGATAATAGTTGATGAATATGCCTTTCTTGTATTATAGATAGATTTAGAAATGTATTTTATATGGAGCTTCATGCACATAGAAGATTTTAAATTTCTGTAGATTATTCTTGACTATATTTGATGTTGATCAAAAATAAAGACCTCATTATGAGGGAATTAAAATAGGTTGTGTATTGTTTCTTTAGTTTTGTCATCATTACGCAGAGTTTTTTTTTGTTTCTTCTGATGGCCACAAGCAATATGTTAATATCATGTATAATACATGTGTTGCCAGAATAGTCATATTATGGAGTTTTATTTCTCGTGCTTCGTGCTTGGTCTTTTGTAAAGGCAGTCACCAATGGTCAATTTTTGAGAACTAAGTCCTAAATTTTGGAAAAATCTTACTGATTTATTTTGCGTTGAAATTTGTACATTGAAAAATAGCACATTTCGTCAAAAATTGATCACAAGGTTTTTTTTCAAGAAACAGCATCTTGACTCGAATCTCCATATCAAGAGTTGCTGTTATTCAACAAAATTCTAAAATGTGATTATTCTGGCAACACTTCTTGTTATAACATTATAGAGATTTATCAATTTCGTTTCTATAGCAACGTTTTTTAAAATTATAAGTTTAACAACCACCATAGTCATTTGCATGAAAAATGATTTTAAGCAATATTGTGGGATGTTGCATAATTGGCATGAATTTGAAAATCTTTTCTTTACTTTGATTGGTTAAACTTTTACACCATGTGATCAACAGCCAATCAGAATAAAGGCATGAATATATTAGGATGAAAAGATATGCTAAAACAGGGAGACTTGCAAACTTGTGAAAACAACACAAATATGGTACAATATCACACTTCTTCTCTTTGTTTTCATCAATTACATTTTAATGTGTGTTAAAAATAAACAGATCAAAAAAATAATCAACTGGTTTTGTTTACTTATTAGTTTCTTTAGTGGTAACTTTTGTAGCCTTTATAATCAGTTGGTGTGTCGTGGAAGGATAAAGAATTCTGGGCACCAGAGACATCAACTTTTGTGGCTCAAGGACCTTATATATGTATGGAACTGAAATGAGACTGAAAAGGGTCATTGCCTGAAAGATGGGTTCCCTTATTTTCATTTATGACAATGAAAATGCTAATACTTATATGAATAGAAAGTAGAGGTTTTAATGACTTGGAAAAATACCAGTTTGTCTCGCATGTCCTTAATTCATAATTAGCTAAATTAGAAGAGAATTATCAGCAGAATTCCAGGACCATAAAGAAAGGTCAAAAAGTCTTTTTTTGTTTATCCAGACTGTACATACATGGACATTTATGATTGATTAAAACTCTTAATTATATGCAATAAGAACATAATGATATGATAAAGAATACATGACAATTCATTAGAAACACCAATTAATCAAGTAGTTTGCTTAATTTGACACTAAAATACAAGGAAACCCATCTTTAAATATATATTAAGGCAAGAGTAATATCCTGCCATGGGGGTCATTTCAGCAAGTGTGACTTGCAAGAATTTAATGTAAAGGACTTTTTTTCACTAATTATTGCTAATTGCAAATTTGCCTCTCCTTATCTCCAAAATCTATCTGCATCTTTCATCCAGCGATTGGCAGAAAAAAGGAAGGAAGAAAAATAAAATAGGAGCATGAAATTTTCTTTTATTTTCTATTAATAGGAAGCAACTCCTGTAAATCATACTACAGACAACAATCATTTTAACAATCCACTCTACAATTTCCTCACTGGTTTGTTTCCTATTTTCTTTAATAGTATTCAAGATTCATCGACATTTGAATATAACAATAAGTCGATACTATGTGGTTAAAAGCAGGACGTGAAACTTCAGTTCCTTCATTTTAATTTTCAAAATTTCAATTGTTCTACTGTTTATTCTCATTTGATTTGCTATATTATTATTATTGATTATTTTCCTATTTAGTTAAAGACAAATGTCTCTTTTGAAAAGCAAAGCCTTACCAGTATCAGTTCTAGGGCAGGGGAGAGGGGGGTCGGGCATTGTAAGGCATTGTAAGCAACAATGAATATTCATCATCTCGGTCCCCATTATGATGTTTACCTGCTAAAGTGAATCACGGTAGAAATATGAAGATAGTTTCAATCATATTGAAGAGACGATGTATCAATGGCAAAAGAGGAACGATATCAGAAAGTTATCCCCAGGAACAAAGCGAGTAAAATAACTAAGATTATATGAGCTATGAATAGAAATGATTGTAATAAGAACGTAAATTCCTTCCACTTCGAGCTTAACCCTCTACACGTGGTTTTCATCAGGGGTGGGGCCGGAATTTTCTTCATTGTTGCTATTAATAACCTCTCGTGAGGTAAAATCTCAGTATTTAATCATATCTTTCCTTGATTTATGGCTAGTTCTCGCAATCGTGATATTACAACATTTTATCCGATAATAATCTACTTTCTATGTTGTTATATGTCAAAATGTTCCCCATTGCACAGTGTGTCCCGAATTCACTAGTTGGTGATTTGTAGCGAGTATTCACAATCGTGAAATTACAATGTCTTATCCAGTAGAGACAGGACTGATTTTATCATATATATGGCCTTTAATATAGACTCTATTTTGTTAAAAGCCAGTTTTGCCCAAATTTCCTTCATTGCACAACTTACTATATTGTCAGTAATTTAGTAATTGTTTAGTAATTTATTGCAAGTTCTTGCAATCGTGATATAACCAGTGGCATTTTTATGGGTATCTGGGCTTTGCCCCCACCCCCCTTTCCACCTGCCTATTTCTTATCATTTTACATAAGAATATCCTCTGAACCCCAATTGATATTACTTGCTCCCCCTCCCCACCCTCTCTACCTAATGATTCATAGAAATGCCAGAGTTTGTCCTAAAATAATCTGTTTAATTTTCTGTTACAGTCCGTCTTTCAAGAATTCCTCCCATTGCTCAATGCACGGTGTCGTTTGTGTTCTTTATCCATTGAAGGAAAGGCGCAGAACAGTAGGCTCTTAAAATGTAAGCAAATATAATCTGACGAAGACCGGAATCGACAACTCAAAATTCGTTTAAAACTCAAACTCGGACATAAAATACTGGAATGCAATAAAAATGTGATGAAAAGAGGAGTTGATATCATGATAGCCATTTTAATAATGATAATATTCTCAACTCAATTAGACCACTAATCACCAAACACGTGTTGACAGCTTTACTTTCATTTTACACATTTTACAGCAGCTCTGAACCCATATTTTAAGTACGGTGCAGGTCAATTTACAGGAAACTGAAGCGTTATATCTATATATCCATTGGCTCAGTGCAAGTCATATTATACGCGTATTATGTAGGCTTCATGTACCTGCTTAAGCACGTGTGTTTCGGTTAGGCTACCTACAAAGGGAGCTTTAGGGTCACAGTGCTCCTGGTTTTCCTCCGGTCAAAGACTTCGATGTCGGCTAAATTCACGGGTTTATTAGGTTGAGTTCGTG